TAACCTTAGCCTAGCCACTTGATACTCCTCTTCCATCCCAATTACCCAAGCCCTATACCGCCGCTGTGACCAAACGGGAAACTTCCAAAACCTAGGGAGGGACAATTAACAGGTAAGTGCAGACTCTGATTAAAATGTCCACTTGCTAAAATGGCCACCCCTTTTACACCCCATTCCTAATTACCCACCCCTAATTCTTGAACTCCACCTGCCTACTCCTCGGCTATGTCAAGGCCCACTCCCCTGACTGCGCTGTTCCATGGGCTTCATGACATGCGCACAGTCGTTATTCGGCCTGTGGCATTTTTACCCCAAAAAAACACAGACACCGTATTCTTAACGTCTCGAGTGCCCCCCCCCCCCACGCGCTATAACCTCCTGAAAACCTAAATTCAGTAAGTCACTTCTGAAAGTCCTTGCGAAAGTACCCAGGCAGCATGCCTTCTAATTCCCAATGCCGCACCGGGACCCTGTCTAACGTCTGGACAAAAACTGAGATGGCTTTATTCACTTTTCACCCTGGCGTGTCTCCAGTTAAATCGTGGCACCATCTCTGACCATACTACCACCACGCCGGAACCAGCTCCCGTAGCCGATCCAACTCCCGCTTCATCCTCCTAATCAGTTCCCTTTGGGGAACCAAACCCAAATCATTACCCCAACTGTGAATTAGTACTATGTCCGGGCAGGCCCCCCCAAAATCCTCCTGAAAATCTCTCCACTAATGCTCTGCCAGCTAAAACCACGAAATCCAAACCACTTTAACTCCATCGTTTCCAAAAGAAAACCCAGCTGTGTTCCGTTCTGCCCTCTTCTGTGCACAGTAAACGTATGAGTGACCCACCAAGTGACCAGACCTGAAAAGAAACAAAATCAGTTACCCAGCAGAGCAATAACAACCCCAGCCTTCCCACAGCCCCTGTTACGCCAACCTGTCTGGCTGCACGTACGAACGGAACCGAATGGACTCCCACCTTCCTATCTGTTTAATCCGTTCGTCCCCCAATCCCAGTCGAGCCGCCTCCGTTGCCGCCTCTATGCGAAACGAATGTGTTCCGAATTGCATGGGTTGGGGGCCCAACTTTTGTAGCCCCATGCGGAATACCTGGACAAATTGAAAACGTGACAGCGCAAAGCCATCCTCATGGACTAAAAAACATCCCGTGACTCCCAGGCGAATGTTTAGGAACTTGGTCCCACACGCCACTGGGCAGACATCTGACCCTGGCAATGAGAACAGGACTACCTTCTTACCTCTCCCGAAAACATCCGTCTTGGAGCGTCTCAATTGAATCTCGACCCTGTCCTGTTCAACAACCACATCCTCGAACCTGAGCCCGTTTATTCCTGACTTGTTGGCGCTGACTAATTCACCGATGCGGAACGCCCCGAAGAAGGCCCAAACAAAAGCTACGGAAAACAAGACCAGTTCGAATGATGATGTTCACATATCGTTCAAAACTCCCAAGAGCCCTTGCAGGACGGCAAACGACACCGGCCTCCTTGTGTCTACAGCCTTCTTCCCCTTTCGGAAGCCTCGCAAGGCTTGTTTCACTAAAAAATTCTTGGTAAGATCTTCCCATCCATTAAGCTTAAACCAAAACGCCAACGCCGACATATAACGGTCTACCCTGGAGGGTGAGGCCCCACCCGCTAATAACCGGCACAGCAACCATAATAGCGCGTCCAACCTACCTGCCGCGGAGTTCCCCACTCCTGTCTGCCCTACTAACTCCTCCAATTAATTCCAAACCTTGGTGTACGCTGCCCAGGTGCCTGGTGCTAGTGAGCTCCTTATAAAATCCCCAAGCACGATGTCCCGAGCTGCCATATTTCTTCCGGGCATGCCTGTCCCGTTTCCTGTACGCCTGGCGCTGCCTCCCGAGAACGCTCCCACTCTGAACGAGACAGTGCATCAGCAACAACATTCAACAAGCCCGGTACATGCCTAGCCCTAAAAACAATATTCCATGACATACAGAAGAGAAGAGAACTAGGTGTCTCAATAACCGAACTACGGGGAACGACGAGGCCAAGATACTATTAATTGCCTGGACCACCGCCATATTATCGGAGTGAAAAATCACCTTTCTGTTCGCGAGTTCCCTGCCCCACAGCGCCACTGCCACTACCACTGAGAAAAATTCCAAGAATGCCAAATTCCTGATTAGTGGGCTTTCCTTCCATGACTCAGGCCACTCCTCGGCGCACCATTTACCCCCCAGGTATGCCCCGAAACCCACACTCCTGATGTCATCCGACGTTGCCGCCGGGTCCCTAAAAAAACACCCGACCATTAAACTCCTGCAAAAAACGGTTCCAAACGTCCAAGTCAGCCCTCATATCCACTGATACCCTGATGTAATGACCCGATAACAAGTAGCTCGAGCTAGCTGCCTACAAAAAACCCTACCCATAGGGATCACCTTACATGCGAAGTTCAGGCTCCCCAGCAGGGACTGCAGTCCCAGCAGGGTCACTTTCCTTGAACCCCTCACTTCTCCCACCCGTTGGCGGAGTGCCATCAGCTTATCCGTGGGTAACCGACATTCCCCTTTCTCCGAGTTGATTTCCAACCCCAGGAAGCTCAGGCACTCGGTCGGGCCCACGGTCTTATCCCCAGCCAACGGAATCCCAAATGCTTGTGCAACCCACTGCAAAACCTGCAGTATCTGGCTGCAGAGGTCGGAGCCCTCTGGACCCACGCACAAGAAATCGTCCAAGTAGTGCACCACTGCACCCCCGGCTGACTCCTGACGCACCACCCACTCTAAAAATGTGCAGAACTTTTCAAAATAAGAACAGGAAATAGCACAGCCCATGGGCAAACATAGGTCTACGAAAAACCCCCCTTTGAAAAAACACCCCAATAAATGGGTAAATAAGAAGCAGTCTAAAAGCCGCTTCCACGTCAACTTTCGCCATTAACGCCCCCGCCCTGCTTTTCGAACCAACTCGACCGCTTGGTCGAATGATGCATATGAGACAGAGCTTAGGGCGCGTCAATGTCATCATTGACGGATGCCCCTTTTGGGTAAGACAAATGATGTATCAAACGGAATTTGCCTGGTTCTTTCTTGGAGACTACCCCAAGTGGGGACACCCTCAAGTCTGGCAGCAGCGGAGCCACATAAGGCCCCGCCATCCTACCCTGCTGTACCTCTTTCAGCAATTTCTCCCGAACCACCCCTGGATGTTCCCGCACGGATTTGAGGTTCGCACATAATTTCCCCTGTCCCTTCCCCTTAAATGGAATAGTAAACCCCACTGTAAAGCCTTTCCTCAAAAACTTGAGGTGAGCGTATCACTTTAGCCACAGTAGCATCTCGCCTACCTTCACCGGGGTTGCCCCCAGCGGCAGTGGCGGGGGCCGCAGCCCCGCTGGCAACCACTCCGGAAGCCGGCTTACCTCTCTTGAAGCACCTGTTAGCTCCATGGGCGCCGCCGCAACTGGAACATTCGTGTTTGAATCTGCACGACGTCCCCCATTTGCATTGGCCTTCATTGAAGAGCCAGAAAAACCTCTTCTTTTGCCCGGCTGGCTCTGTTTCTCCAGGTACTGCACCGGCCACCCCCTGAAAGGGCGCAGCCTTCTGCGCCATCATCAGCTTCATACATAGAGGTAAGTCCATTTGGTCCCACCTCATTCTAGGATTCGCTGCTAACCGTTGGCGGAATGGCTCATCGTATTTCCACCACGCTATTCCCCCGTACATGTCCCCTATCCCGTCCAGATAACAAAAAAGTTGTGAGCAGCGGTCATGGTATTTCTCCCCTATAACGCTGGCCAGAATACAAAAAGCCCTGAGTCAGTTCCCAAATGTTTTAGGGATCTTACGATACCTAAAAAAAATTCTCTTCTTCCTCCTTTTTTGCATCCCTTTTGTCCTCCTCTTTTAAATCAAGGAACTCTTCTAGGGGAAGAAGGGAAAAAACCTCTACAAACTCCCCCTTCAAAATCTTGTCTTTAACCTCTGTTTTTAGATGACAACCCAAAGGGCCCGCAAAAGAAACGTGTACATTTTGCCGCGCCGCGTCTGGAATCTCGCCACATAAGTCCATTCTTTCGCCCGGCCCCCCTACCGTCTCAGTCGTAGTTAACGCCACTCACCGCTCCGACTGCTCTATCTGTCGATCCGAGACCCTTCTCTTGGACCCATACCCTCACGAACTGCGGTGACGAAACCTCCCCACTCGTCCATGAATCTAAGAACGATTTCAAGCAGCTCAACAGTGTTTCTGAGTGTGGTGCACCAGTTGACTCACCGCCAGAGCCCCCGGCCGCGAAGTCGCTTTCCGTCCGTCTGCCGCATACGGCTCCGGAGTATCCAAGAGACGCCGTCTCCTTCCAGTCTGATCCCGTCTCGGGATCGTAGGTGTAGCGTTCCGCGACCTGTAAGGAGTAGAACACCTGGGTAGTCTGTTCGTGTGTCCACCTACCCGCCCTTCCTCCCTACGCTCCAATTCATCCTCCCTTAGCCTGTCCCACCTAGCAGCCTGGCCCTCCTGGCCATATGTGTTACACCGCTGTCCTTGTGAACTCCTGTCTGAGGACCAAGAAGCGCTGCGCCGGTCCCTCCTTCTCCTTTCCCTGCAGACTGATCTCCGCCTACTGCACCTGCTTGCAGACGGGCTCCTCTCTCTGGTGCTCCATGCCCTATCATGCCTTACGCTATCTCTGCACCGTTCCCTGCTGTCTTCCGGCCTGGGGTGGCTTCTACAGTCTTGCCGCCCCTGGGAGCTGCCCCTGCGGCCCTCCCGTCCATGCCTAACCCCACTTTCCTCTGTACACAACGCTGACCCTTGTGACTGAGCCCCATGCAGTGAACCTAGCCCTCGATGGGCCTCCCTGTCCGCATGGGATTCCCAGTGCTGTCCCTGACAGCCAGATTTCCTTTCCGCCACAGACGTGGCCTGCCTCTGCTGCCCCAGCTGGGTGGGCCCGTCGGCCGCCCCCATGCTGTTAGACCCGGCCACCGCCATGGCCAATCCTGCTGTGTCTCTGTTGCCGGGGCCCCCCCCTGCCACCAGGGGAACGGCCTGCCTGCCATTTACAGCCTCTTACCTGTCCCCTTGCCGCCCGGCTGTTACACTGGGACGCCTCAGGTCTCCGCTTCCTCCTCCACGTCCCTCCGCGTTCCCGGCCTCCATGGGGGCCGCTGCTGTCTTCGCCGCCCTGCCGGCTGCCTTCTGGCGGGTGGCGCTCAGCGTTGTAGGCTGCACTGTAGGCCTCGGCCTGGCCGCCGTCCCTGCGCGACCAGCACCGCGTCGGACAGACGGTGCCGGCCGCGTTCTCTCAGTCTCAGCCTGGCAGTGGCAGATCCAGAGCCTAATCTCGGGAGGGGCACTTGTAGATTATTTAAATAAATAATCCAGGCACAATAACCACTACAGCTCAGTGTAGTAGTTATGGTGCCAGTAGTGCCAGGATCCCACCGTAGTGTAAGTAGTCATAGCGTTTAAGAACAGTTTGACAACTTACCTGGGGTCTGCTGGGGTATAGGGCATAGGAGCAGTGGTGTGTGTTAGGGGTGAAGTGTGTGAGCGATGAAGTGTGTGTATGTGAGTGGGGCAGTGTATGTCAGGGTTGCAGTGTGTGTGTGTTAGGGGGCAGTGTATGTGTGGGGCAATGTGTGTGTGTGTGTGAGGGTGGCAGTGTGTGTATGGGGGCACTGTATGTGTTTTTGGGGCAGTGTGTGTATGGGGGGCAATGTATGTCTGTGTGGGGCAGTGTGTGTATGGGGAGCACTGTATGTATGGGGGGCAGTGTGTGTATGGGGGGCACTCTGTGTATGGGGGGCAGCAGTGTGTGTAGGGCACTGTATGTGTCTATGTGTGCAGTGTGTGTATGGGGGGCAGTGTTTGTCGGGCAGTGAGTGTATGGGTGTGCAGTGTGTGAATGGGGACAGTGTTTGTGGGGCAGAGTGTAGTGTGTGTGTGTATGGGGGCAGTGTGTGTATGGGGGGCAGTGTTTGTGGGGCAGAGTTTCAGGGGCAGAGGTAGTGTGTGTGTGTATGGGGGCAGGGCTTAGGGGCAGTGTGTGTGTATGGTCAGTGTTTGTGGGGCAGTGTGTGTGGGGGTGCAGTGTGTGTATGGGACAGTGTTTGTGTGGCAGTGTGTGTATAAAGCTTGTGGGGCAGTGTGTGTAGTGTGTGTATGTATCAGTGTTTGTGGGGCAGTGTAGTGTGTGTATGGGGACAGTGTTTCTGTGGGCAGTGTGTTTAGTGTGTAGGGGGGGGCAGTGTGTGTATGGGGACAGTGTTTGTGGGGCAGTGGGTGTAGTGTGTGTATGGGGGGCAGTGTGTGTATGGGGACAGTGTGGGGCAGTGTGTGTATGGGGACAGTGTTTGTGGGGCAGTGTGTGTATGGGGACAGTGTTTGTGGGGCAGTGTGTGTATGTGGGGCAGTGTGTGTATGGGGACAGTGTGTGTATGGGGACAGTGTGTATATGGGGGCAGTGTGTGTATGGGGACAGTGTGTGTATGTGGGGCAGTGTGTGTATTGTGTGCATGTGGGCAGTGTGTTTATGGGGACAGTGTTTGTGGGGCAGTGTGTGTAGTGTGTGTGTGGGGGGCAATGTGTGTATGGGGACAGTGTGTGTATGGGGACAATGTTTGTGGAGAAGTGTGTGTATGGGGACAGTGTGTGTATGGGGACAGTGTTTGTGGGGCAGTGTGTGTATGGGGGGCAGTGTGTGTATGGGGACAGTGCTTGTGGGGCAGTGTGTGTAGTGTGTGTATGGGGACAGTGTTTGTGGGGCAGTGTGTGTAGTGTGTGTATGGGGGGCAGTGTGTGTATGGGGACAGTGTTTGTGGGGCAGTGGGTGTAGTGTGTGTATGGGGGGCAGTGTGTGTATGGGGACAGTGTGGGGCAGTGTGTGTATGGGGACAGTGTTTGTGGGGCAGTGTGTGTATGGGGGACAGTGTTTGTATGGGGGAGGAGGAGGGTAGGGAGGTTTTTTAATAATAAAAAAAAAATGTATTTAATAAAATAAATATATTGATGCCCCCCCTCCCTTCTTACCTTTACTGGGAGGAGGGGGGACATTTCTGGATCCCTGGTGGTCCGGTGGGGATTCCCTGGTGGCCCAGTGGTGGTGAGGTGAACTCTAGCCCGCAGCTCCAGGGCTAGAGTTCACTCTCGCGAGATTTGGAGCGTTGCCATGGTAACCGCGGCAACGCTCCAAATCTTGCGAGAGGAGGACCCGGAGGAGCTGCAGGCTGAGCTCCCGGGTCCTCTCTCCTCCCTCTCTGATCTCCCTCCCCGGTCCGCAGGCACATAGCAGGGCTGGCACTTGGACAATGCCAGCCCTGCATCAACTGGCAGGGGAGAATCTCGGGGGGGGGGGGCTTGTGCCCCGTTGCCCCCCCCCCGATCTGCCAATGCCGCCTGGCCCGCATCCGCAGCCAGGGCCCCACCGGCATCTGCTGACGGGCTCCGACGTCTTCGTGCTTAAAGGACCACTCTAGGCACCCAGACCACTTCAGCTTAATGAAGTGGTCTGGGTGCCAGGTCCAGCTAGGGTTAGCCCATTTTTTCATAAACATAGCAGTTTCAGAGAAACTGCTATGTTTATGAATGGGTTAAGTCTTCCCCCTAATCCTCTAGTGGCTGTCTCATTGAGAGCCGCTAGAGGCGCTTGCGTGCTTCTCACTGTGATTTTCACAGTGAGAGCATGCCAGCGTCCATAGGAAAGCATTATGAATGCTTTCCTATGTGACCGGCTGAATGCGCGCGCAGCTCTTGCCGCGCGTGCGCATTCAGCCGACAGGGAGGAGAAGAGGAGGATCGGAGGAGGAGAGCTCCCCGCCCAGCGCTGGAAAAAGGTAAGTTTTAACCCCTTTCCAGAGCCGGGCGGCATGGGGACCCTGAGGGTGGGGGCACCCTCAGGGCACTATAGTGCCAGGAAAATGAGTATGTTTTCCTGGCACTATAGTGGTCCTTTAAGGCATCACGCCCAGACTCAGCCGCTGGGGCGGTTTCGCCCTCCTCACCGGACACCGCTCCGCAGCCACAGGGGGGTTAACGGCAGTACGAGGAGCCCCCAGTTGTTGATGAAGCCAGGCCATCCCTCTGTCCCGCACGGCTGCTCTCACACCTTCCAAGATCTCGTCCAGCGATGCCATGATCTGAAAAAGAAAGAAGAGGAACCCACACAGACCTGCCAAAGACAATTAACAGGTAAGTGCAGATTCTGATTAAAATGGCCACTTGCTAAAATGGCCGCTTAATATACTCCTTTCTTCTCCACCCCTTTTACACCCCATTCCTAAATTACCCACCTCTAATTCTTTAACTCTACCTGCCTACTCCTTGGCTCTGTCAAGGCCCACTCCCCTGTCTAATAACCCATCTCACTCACTGCCTCCTCTCACTGTCTAATACCCCCTCTCACTGTCTAATAACCCATCTCACTGTCTAATACCCCCTCTCACTCACTGCCTCTTCTCGCTGTCTAATAATCCCTCTCACTGTCTAATACTCCCTCTCACTGTCTAATACTCCCTCTCACTCACTGCCTTCTCTCACTGTCTAATACTACCCTCACTGTCTAATACTCCCTCTCACTCAATGCCTCTTCTCGCTGTCTAATACCCCCTCTCACTGTCTAATACTCCCTCTCACTCACTGCCTTCTCTCACTGTCTAATACTACCCTCACTGTCTAATACTCCCTCTCACTCACTGCCTCCTCTCACTGTCTAATACCCCCTCTCACTCACTGCCTCCTCTCACTGTCTAATACCCCCTCTCACTCACTGCCTCCTCTCACTGTCTAATACCCCTCTCACTCACCTGCCTTCTCTCTCACTGTCTAATACCCTCACTCACTGCTACTCTCTGCCTGCCTCTACCAGCTGTTTAATACCTCTCACTGTCTAATACCCCCTCTCACTCACTGCCTTCTCTCACTGTCTAATAACCCCTCTCACTCACTGCCTCCTCTCGCTGTCTAATACCCCCTCTCACTGTCTAATACCCCCTCTCACTCTCTAATACTACCCTCACTGTCTAATACTCCCTCTCACTCACTGCCTCCTCTCACAGTCTAATACCCCCTCTCACTCACTTCCTCCTCTCACAGTCTAATACCCCCTCTCACTCACTGCCTCCTCTCACTGTCTAATACTCCCTCTCACTCACTGCCTCCTCTCACAGTCTAATACCCCCCTCACTCACTTCCACCTCTCACAGTCTAATACCCCCTCTCACTCACTGCCTCCTCTCACTGTCTAATACCCCCTCTCACTCACTTCCTCCTCTCACTGTCTAATACCCCCTCTCACTCACTTCCTCCTCTCACAGTCTAATACCCCCTCTCACTCACTTCCTCCTCTCACAGTCTAATACCCTCTCTCACTAACTGCCTCCTCTCACTGTCTAATCAGCCTCTCACTCACTGCCTCCTCACTCACTGTCTAATCCTCACTCACTGTCTAATCCTCACTCACTGCTCCCTCACTCACTGCCCCCTCACTCACAGTCTAATCCTCACTCACTGTCTAATCCTCACTGTCCCCTCACTCACTGTCTAATCCTGACTCACTGCCCTCACTCACTCACTGCCCAATCCTCACTCACTGCCCTCACTCACTGTCTAATCCTCACTCACTGTCTAATCCTCACTCACTGTCTAATACCCTCATCACTGTCTAATCCTCACTCACTGCCCTCACTCACTCACTGTCTAATCCTCACTCACTCACTGTCTAATCCTCACTCACTGCCCTCTCACTCACTGTCTAATCCTCACTCACTGCCCTCACTCACTCCTCACTCACTCACTGCTCTAAAAACAAAAGCAATCACAATCCTCACTCACTGTCTACTCCTCCCTCCTCCCTCTCACTCACTGTCTAATCCTCACTCACTGCCCTCACTCACTGTCTAATCCTCACTCACTGCCCTCTCACTCACTGTCTAATCCTCACTCACTGCCCCCTCCCTCACTGTCTAATCCTCACTCACTGCCCCCTCACTCACTGTCTAATCCTCACTCACTGCCCCCTCACTCACTGTCTAATCCTCACTCACTGTCTAATCCTCACTCACTGCCCTCACTCACTGTCTAATACCCCCTCTCACTCACTGTTTAATCCTCACTCACTGTCTAATGCTCACTCACTGCCCCCTCACTCATTGCCCTCACTCACTCACTGTCTAATGTTCACTCACTGCCCTCACTCACTCACTGCCCCTACTCACTCTGTAGCTGAGTGTCCCCCCAGCTCACTGTCCCCTCACTCACTCTGTAGCTGAGTGTCCCCCTGCTCACTGTCCCCTCACTCACTGCCACCTCACTCACTGCCCCCTCACTCACTCTGTAGCTGAGTGTCCCCCTTGCTCACTGTCCCCTCACTCACTGCCCCCTCACTCCTCACTCACTGCCCTCACTAACTCTGTGGCTGAGTGTCCCCCCTGCTCACTGCCCTCACTCACTGCCCTCACTAACTCTGTGGCTGAGTGTCCCCCCTGCTCACTGCCCTCACTCACTGCCCTCACTCACTCTGTAGCTGAGTGTCCCCCTGCTCACTGTCCCCTCACTCACTGCCACCTCACTCACTGCCCCCTCACTCACTGTCTAATCCTCACTCACCCTGTAGCTGAGTGTCCCCCCTGCTCACTGTCCCCTCACTCACTGCCCCCTCACTCCTCACTCACTGCCCTCACTAACTCTGTGGCTGAGTGTCCCCCCTGCTCACTGCCCTCACTCACTGCCCTCACTAACTCTGTGGCTGAGTGTCCCCCCTGCTCACTGCCCTCACTCACTGCCCTCACTCACTCTGTAGCTGAGTGTCCCCCCTGCTCACTGCCCTCACTCACTGCCCTCACTAACTCTGTGGCTGAGTGTCCCCCCTGCTCACTGCCCTCACTCACTGCCTCACAGATTGGCCCCGCCCCTTTTCTCTGTTCCATTTTTCTCCCATTGACAATGAAACCTCCCCCATCCTATCAGACTGGCCCCGCCCTCTCAGACCCTCCTATTCTCCCATTCAACCTTCTCAATCTGTCTGGTATTAGACTGGCCCCGCCCTTAATCCCGCCCCTTCCAGTGTTTAGCCCCGCCCATCTCACACAGTCAGTCCCGCCTACTTCTTAGCTCCTCCCCTCTTACAGACAGTCCCGCCTAATACATAGCCCCGCCCCTCTCTAACAGTCAGTCCCGCGTCCCGCCCAGTCCCGCCCAGTCCATAGCCCCGCCCCTCTCACACAGTGAGTTCCGCCCAGTCCCGCCCAGTCCATAGCCCCGCCCCTCTCACACAGTGAGTCCCGCCCAGTCCCGCCCCCGTGTCGGTCAGTCGGGGCCCCTCCCCCTGGCGGTGTGTCTGTCTGAGCCCAGTCTCCGCTCTGTCCGTCCTTCATGGAGCCCCCCGGAGCCCCGCGCTCCCCCCGCCGCTCCTGACACAGAGCCCGGACCCTGCGACAGCGAGCGGCCCACCCCGGCCGGGGGGAACTGCCCCGTGTGGACCCCGGGCTCGGCCCTCCGGCACCATGCAGCCCCCGCCGAGAAAGGTGAGGGGAGACCGGGGGGACCGGGGATGGAGGGACCGGGGGGGAGCCTGGATCATGGTATGGGGGGGATACTGGGGGTAGGATCATGGT